TACTCATGACAAGACATAACAAAACCTACCCAAGACAGTACACAATATAACCTACTCATGACAAGACACAACAAAACCTACCTAAGACAAGACACAACAAAACCTACCCAAGACAGGACATAACAAAACCTACCCAAGACAGGACACAACAAAACCTACCCGAGACAAGTCACAACAAAACCTACCCGAGACAAGACACAACCAAACCTACCCAAGACAAGACACAACAAAACCTACCCAAGACAAGACACAACCAAACCTACCCATGACAAGACACAACCAAACCTACCTAAGATAAGACACAATAAAATTTTCCTCACAAAGGGTAAAACAAAACCAACATGAGACAAGGTAAAAAAAGAACCACCTGAGACAAGAATCAACAAAACCTGTTTGATACAAGGCACAACATAACCTACCCGAGACTAGACACAAATACTTAAGACAAGACAACAAAACCTACCTCAGACAAGGCACAATAAAACTTAATTAATAAAACTTAACACAACGAAACCTATTTCAAACTGAGCACTGCAAAATGTCCCTAAAATATTTTATAAACAGACTCTTTTAAATGTTATGCCCATTATAGCTGGACTACGAATGTAACAGAACATCCTTTACACTCCATAATCATTATTTACCATCGAATCACATACAAAACAGGCTCCATCCAATGTGAGAAAGTTAGCACATCACATATACTGTTTACAGCTGTGTTTTTTAACACATCTTCCACAATTTCACATTCTGTATTATATTTTCAATACGTTGCCTAAACTACCACTGTTTAATTTTACTATATTTTAAGCTATTAAGTTTTAAGAAATTTATCCTCCAAATGAGGAGTACTTTTTCAAAACCTGCAAAGTCCACTTTTTGGAAAAAAGTAGTTATTCTTATAGCTTCTTAACTAAGTAGCAATTAAAGCAATATAATCATTCTTGTTCTAAAAGCTATAACATGACATATATTTCTTAACAGTAAACTATAAAAAAAATCATATGATTAGTTAACAAAAAAAAAAACGTTTTAAAGTCGATTTACTCAAAATTAGTCAGAAGTGACTTTGCAAATGAACTCCTGAAATAAAACCAATGTTGACTCATACCAAAGCTAGTTATAACTTCCTTCCAAAATTACTGTTATTATAATACTTACCGCTTCATCTTCGGGAATTCATTAGAACCAATACAGTTAATACTGGCTGAATAAGACTAATGTAATGACAGGGAGCGGAGTACCGATCGATTATACTGTAATATTATCTGTCTGTACAACATTCAATTCATTCACCACTTATAATTTAAACTTATAATTTTAACGTAGACGTAACCGAAAAAAAATGCAGATTATAAGCTAATTATGTAATAAACATGTTGAGAGTTTTTGTTAGATGACTGATATTTATTTTTTGATACTTATAAAACACACTTTATCCTTATTAAATACTTTGTTTTTGATAGAACAATATAATTTATAAAAATATTAAAGCAATATTGTTCGTCTGTACAGAACCAAAGGTTATCATACGCAATGGTTTAATAGACAGCAGATTAGAAAAATTACTCAAGAGACTTTACTAAACATTTGAAAAATAAAATGAACGAAAGCCTCATCGACAAGGAAAATGTGGTTGATACAGAAAAAATAATTTTAGAAACCAGAGAATATTTTATTTCTGACTACACTTTGAGAGTATTTTCTCTAATCAACACAATAACCCTCCAGGGGATCCTGTCTTTGACTGGGGTCGGCACCAACTCTCTCAGCGCTTGGGTCTTCTACAGACTTGGTCTTGGCACCAGCATGAACGTCGAGATCTTCCTCCTGTCTGCCACTGACCTGCTCTACAACATCTTTCAACTGGCCACTTTTATCACAACATTCGCTGAAGTTTTCTTGTCAAACTGGCCGATTGATTTACTGGCATTAAGATCACTCATATTTTCTAACGCTAAGTACACAATCTTTATGATGTCTTGTGGGATTACGGCTTTTATTTCAATTGAAAGATGTTGCTGTGTTTTGTTTCCTTTTAGAGTTAAAGAAATATTTAGAAGGAAAAGAAGTATTTGTGTTATAGTCAGCATAGTTGTTTTCTTCACGGGACTTGCTATGCTTACTCTAATAGGGCAACGTTTGGATTGGATAGTATCGGTTGTGAAATACGACAATATCACTGTAGTGTATAGTTATAAGTGGACAGTAGTGTATGGAGATATACAGGCTAAAGTATTCATAGAGAAGGTTCAAGATATTGTCGCTGGGTTGGTACTCTCGATAACTTTCCAAGCTATTCTGCTCATCTGTTCCTGTACGATGATTTACGCTTTGAAAATGTCTTCGAAAATTCGTAATACTGAATCTGACAAAAGTCTTACTTGCAAATCGGCAATAACTGTCAAAGAAAAACGAATGGTTAAGATTGTGTTAAGCATGGCTTTAATCCTAATCGTGTGTAATCTACCTCGAATTGCAGGCACCGTAGCGTATTACGTCACTCCTTGGATGAATGTCGGCGCTTACGAGAATTTTTATATTTTTCTTTGGGACTTGACGCTTCTAGTTAGTTCGCTGGGATTGTCAGCAAACTTTTTTGTGTATTATTTCTTAAACAGTAGCTTCAGGAAAATTGTTTGTGATTTGTTTAGATACAAACCAAATAAACAAAAATAGACTTGACAAATATTGACTTGTAGATGGTGAAGATGTTTTTGGCTGATAGAAAATGGGTAATGTGTTTCGGATAAATAACGATGACTAAATACCCGCCCCCATCACAAAGTCTTAATCTTAATCTTCCCTCCACATCCCACATAATCTTCAGCAGGGCAGACAACTCTATAGTTAACTGCCCTTACTCCATCAGGCCAGAATAATCTGTTGTTACCAGCCATACTTCAAGAAAGGTAAACATCTTAGAGTCTAAAATTCGGTTTATCAAATCCGAAAAAACAATTCACCAGAATCTTACAATGTTTTGTTACTAGTAATATTCAGACTGATACTGGGTTTTCCGGGTGTTTTATTATTTTTATTTCCAATTTATCGGTGAATTAACTTTCAGCCTTATGTACAAACCTAGCAGATACGACTGCAGAGATCGGCACTGAGTTGAACACGCAGTCCTTTCTTCAATTCAGAATTGTAATTTTGGTTGGCGGCGTCTGGAGCGGGGTGCCCCCATTAACACCCGACCTATTGAGGCAATGTTTTAGACTATTTTTACTGCACTGCCACAATATGCAGACGAAGGGCATATGAGGTAACTTAGATTAATACGTGGTATGTTTTTTTTTTCCTCATTAAAAAAGCACCCTGAATTCTGATCGAAAATAATATACTACAGTTATACAGTGGTCTAAATAGATCAGTAAAAAATGAATAATACAATCATGCAATATATCGATAAACACGTAATGGTAATTCAATAAAATATTATGTTTTCGAGTCTAGATGGACAACAGTAAATAAGTAACAGCGTTTAGGTTTAGTACATGTTCAGTAGCAATTCTTTACCTCCTCGAACGAACATTACTACTATACAACTAACGGAAACCACATCACGCATCTAAAGGCTCAAGAAAACCTAAAACCACGAGTTAAAAACAAGTCATTGAAATAACTGGGCTCTACTCGATTATAGCAGGTTTATATCTAGTACTCCCGATCTTCAAACTTTTCCTTACCCTGTAAAGTGACGACACCATCTTTAATTTCCCTTTTACACACACAGGCACACACACACACACACCCATATACTACACGCACACACATAACACACACATACATTGTTCTGTAAAGTGACGACACCTTTTTACTTTCCCTTTTACACATGACACATACGAAAAAACACACACTAACACTCACACAACCCACAAAAAACCGAATACTTCTAAGCTAAATGTATGTATTTTATCCTTTTATTTCCGAGAAAATATAAAAATATAGCAATGTCTTTCACCTAAATATACTCTCTATTTTATACACTCAAACACACACACACGCACTGATGTCATTTTTTAAGATGCCATAATTGTAATACTTACAATCAAATTAAAATTACTTTTTGATATTTAGCAAGAGATATGTTTATTTAAAGTAATATATTCGTTAAAACCTAAAAGACACCTTACAAGTACATAACTTAGGTCGAATAGTATCCCGGCGACTGGACATAGTCCAGACCAAACGAACTCTCTATATGCAAGTCGTCAAATAATTAAATATCCGAGTGATTCTACTTCTTGCAATGAAAGTCGTTTAAAAATGTAACACTGTGTAGGCAAAGAGTGAGATGGAGAGTAGCCTCCCCTGGCAAGTATGTAAAGTGCAGCGATCCAAGAAAAATGCGCAATCGGAAAGCTGCTCAAACGGAAAAATGCTTAAACACAAAAATGCTCCAATACGAACGAATTATCCTAATACACATTATTGTTGTCATATTTCGTGGAGATCCTAATACACATTATTTTTGTCATATTTCGAGGAGATAGGTTTTATTATACTACAGTGTATATGTAGTCCCTCTTTATTAATGTATATACACGTTTGATTTAAGAAAACATAAATGTCCTTCGAACTTTTTTGCGCGCATTTTCCGTTTTGCATCTTTCCAGTCAAAAGGTGGGTGTGCAAGTTGGGAGTTGTGTGTGAACTTGGTTAGATGCGAGGAGACGGAGTAGTTACGTTGTGTAAAACTGTGTTTTGTCTGATAAAATTAAGTTTCCTTGTAGTTTCTATTGACTCGAACAAATTATTTGGCTCAAACCGCACTAGTTTGTTTACTGTGTTCTTTACAATCCCTGTTCAATTATTGTTCGCCTTAACTTAAAAAGATATAACAGAGAAAACACCAGGTGTAACATTTTTCTACTCTTATATACAATCAGGACTGAACTGATTCATTAAGTTACAACAATACCTCGCATTTTTAGTAAATACGACAAATCTACAAGTACATATTCGATGTAATGTATCAATTATTTTTAAAAAAGCTATTTACTTTTGAATAAAGATTTGTAAGTTTCCGCGAACTTTGAACTCATGGTGATGTAGATAATAAAGTTGATGGAGGCGTTGACCTGGTAGAGAACTGGACTTAAGATGACGACAAACCTAAAAAAACTGGAATGTCGTTCAAACCCAGAGAACACAGTATACAGGTCTAATATAGAACTGGGCAGAAAGGCAAACACTGACAGACAACAGAGGATGAGTAGCATCTTGACCACTTTCCTTTCTTTGACTTGACTTGATGAGTTTTTGCTCAACGCTTTGTTTTTCAACAGCTGCAGCTGTAGGATGATGATGAAGGAGCAGATGAGGGTGAGGGTTAGCGGGAGGACGATGAGGGAGATGGTGAGGAAGAGGACGCTGTACAGCTTGAACACGTCGATGTTGTTTAACAGAATGTCGGTGTACGTCCAGATTCCAAGGCTGGCATTGACGCTGGGGTCGTACTCCCATTTTACATAATGACACAGAAAACTCGGCGCGTATAATAGAATACCGTACACGTATAGAAAAATAACTACACATTTGACACGGTAGCGGGTGAAAATTTTCGCGACTTCGAACGGAAATGACACCGCAACGACTCGTTCAACGGATATAGATGTGACGTGAAGGATCGATACCAATACAGTGATTTCAGTCACGTGGTTCAGTAAATCAGCTAGCAGTTCGAAATTTAGCATGACGACCAGCCCAAACGAGGCGACGATAGTTCTTAACCCCCTAAACAAACTGCAGGTTGAACAAACGAAATCGCTGATGGAGAGTGAGATTAAGAAGATGTTGGTCGTCTCGTTGAGGCCGTGGCGGGTCAGGATGATGATGCTTAAAACGTTGCCGATGATGCCGAAGACGCTAAGGGTGAGCATGATGACGCAGCCTAAAACCACGGAGTAAAGCCAGAATTCCCATTCGCCAATCAGGTGCAATGCAGAAGGTTCCACAGCATTGATGATTTCAGAAGTGAAGTTTGTTTTGGATATTTCATCCAGTGAACTCATGGTTAACTCTTTTGTTAAATTACTAACTCTGCTGAAGATCTAATGACGGTCTTTTAACTTGTTTTTTATGCAAAATAATAATTTTGAAAATATAATGTGTACATATTGCCAAAATGCTAATACTTTTGACTTGTGCAGTATGAAGAACTTTGGGTATTATCAGCTTTTACTAAACTATTTGTAAACAAAACAAAAATATAATTTTATAAAACACAATTTAGTGTTGTATAGTGTTTTATCAATAAAGCTATTTAACTTTTAAAATTACAAAAAACTCATTTCTGTATAATCGTTTCGATTACTGTTTAAAAAAATACTAAACTATTACATTAGTGGCGATAAAGACTTCTGAAATGAAAATATACTTCGCATTTACAAAGCGAAATCATTTTACTTTTTGTAACTAAATATTCTTTACTTTAAAGTTACACTATTCAGTATTCATAGAAAAACTATTCTTCGGAATATCACATAAAAGTCTCGATATATATATATATATTATGATCTTTAGGATGGAAAGCTTTATATGCAGGATTCTATGATTCTATTGCTATCTAATTAAGTTGTAACGAACACAATCAGACTTAATTATTTTGCCAGTCGATGATGAAAACTTAGTAATAATGACTTCGTTAATGAAGTAAGACAGTAGTTGATGTGAACTTCAGATAAGGGCTCTCATAAACTAGTTTCATCTCTCCCCCCTCTTTCTCCCTCTCTCCCTCTCTCTCTCTCTCTCTCTCTCTCACACACACACACACACACGCACACCCACTCTATTATTCCCTAGTTACGTTTCTTGAGTTCCACCAATGACACTTCAAAAGTCAAACGACACAGAAAGTCACCATACGAACCCTGATCTCTGATCTATCATAAGACTTGCTCGAGAGGATTTTGACAATCCGTGTATCGATACCGCTAATCGATTTTCGTGTAAGATACAACGTCAAGAGCTCTTGCAGGGCCCGGATGTTCTAGAATGTCTCGTGGTATTCCAGCTTCAGAGACTACCGCGAGAGGGAAATTGTTTCCGAAAGATTAAGCACTAGTCTTGACTTTTTAATGATACTCCTAATTGATTAACGGTATAATCTTTTAACAATTTATTATTTGAGTTATTTTTCAAATAAATATGATAGCATTTACAGATGTTAAATGTCTATTTAAATTCATTTTATAACACACAAAGATAAACAGCTCGTTTCAATACTTTTTCATACGAATTCGTACAAATTTTATTTAGATTTACAAGTATTCAGTGCTTCAAGTGATACAGTTCAACTTCATGAACGAAGCTTAAATAGTAAATCGTCATAAACCAATCACATAAATTATGAATGCATTTAACTAAAAAAACAAAACATTTATTACACTAAACTCAAAAGGCAAAAAACGGGCTGATACATCAGTCAGTTTTGTACAGTGAAAATGAAATAAAACACAAACAATTGTATATAACTTAAGAGCGCTGTTCATCATGTGATGTTGGCAACTTGCCTTCACTTCACTTTAAATTAAACAATGCGAAGCAGCTAGTAAAGATAGTTTTCGTATTTTCTAAAACGATCTTACCGTGAATGGCGTGTCAAGATTATGTGCGAAAAATGATAAAGTGCTATTGTTGATAACTTTAACATTAAAAAAATGAAGAGAAAACTTTAAAAGATTAAGAATGTGAGACGTGTTGAGCTATATTTTTTTGTATAGCTGTTGTCATGTAGAGAACTGACAAAAGATCAGAAAATGTCGTTGTTCTTAGCTGCAAAAAAAAATTGTGTTGCATTAATATTTCATTGAGTTGCTTTCATTTAGAGTTATAAGCAGTGGCGGAACTAGAAAAAAAGGGCCACCCCGCAAAAAAAAATTTTAGGCCCCCCCTATATATATATATATATATATATATATATATATATATATATATATATATATATATATATATCAAACACTACATACGAACATAGGATATTCATTGCTGGCTTGTTCGGGTTTTGAAAAAAAAAATGGTAGTTTTTTTCAATTAAAACAAATTACAACATCATGCCATGTGTAAGTGCATTAGTCAGCTTTGTAAAAATCAGTTTTATTTTTATCTCTGCTATAACTATAAGACCTCTTAACCTCTAGTCGTTCAAAAGAATATAAACCATGAAAGCTTTGTATGTAAGTTATGGTGTCTCGTGTTATATTTATTTTCATGTTTTTTTTCGAATTATATTATTAATTTTAAATACATTTTTTATACAATGTCATTAATAAGTAAGTACTTTACAAAAAAATAATAATTAAGAGAAATAATTGCTTTTTAATTTGTTTAGAAGAAATCTATTAAAAGGAGCTTATGATCACGCTGATTTGACTATTTAAAAAAGGGAAATAAGTCATGGAAGTGGTTTGAACGTTTGCTTAGCTTTGATAAGTTTGATTGTAGGAGAAAGAGGACTTGGCTTTCACAGTGCTTTAAAAACAAAGGGAAAAATATACAAGAGCGTGGGATGGTGTCTATAGAAGCTACGGTAATCTTTTTTACAAAACAGCCATCAAGTAAAAAAAAGCAAGGAAATTATTTTATTTGTTTTTAAATATAATTTCTTTTTATTTTGGTCGGCTGTGGGCCCCTAAATGGCGTGGGCCCCCCCGCATTGCGGGGTCTGGCGGCACTGTAGTTCCGCCCCTGGTTATAAGCCTCTTTGATTCAGAAAGTATTACAGAAGAGATTAACTAGGGTACTGGATATAAGCATACATAACTCACATCATGTAGCTAGATCACTTGTTGTACACTGTTGTTATAAATGCCGATCAGAGGAAAATGTACATATGGCATGAGACTTACTCTGTAGTTACCCGGGGAGCGGTCTGGGTCGATTTGATAAACATTTTAATTTCCAACAAGATTCGTTGCGTTTTCTTTATACATCCAATTACGCGGATTCTTTGAAAATGGTGATTCTAATATAATGACGCTCCATAGAAATGGGACGAGGCAAACTAGTGAGAACTCTTGGTGGGCGGGAGGGGGGGGGGGGCTGATAGGATGGTGTTCTATTTAGCGAGTCCACGTCGACTTTCGGAGATGTTTGGATGGTGAAGATTGTGAAAAGTTGACGTTATTTAGACACGAGTCCTGCATAAAATAAAATGAGACAAAGAAAACGTAATTGTGATACTCAACCATGATCACTGTTTGCAGCAGTACCCTGTCTACACGTCTGGTGGGGTAAGCTGTATGTTAGAGATGTCCAGTTTGTATAACCTACGTCACCAAGGTTCTCGGCCGTACGTCCTTTGGTTCTGGCATTACATCTACTGACACTGACTGCTACAACTGAGCTACGATTTAAGGTCTTAAAGCTTGTATGAAATGTCTCATTTAGTGCAGTCGTGTGATATCATCTGTCAACGTTTCATTAGTTCCAACATACTAACTTCAGCCTCTTCAGCTTCGACCATCAAAACTGCTTAATTGTTAATTTCTAGATGAGCAGTGCCTTTTGTGAAGGTTCCATCTGTGTAGATATATGAACAATTCTCTCTTATGTTATTTTGTGTGTGTCGTATACGGACGCAACTGGCTCAAACCGTAGGCCACTAGCCAGCTACTCTGAAAACGGTTAAGAATTTAGCATGCCTATCACCTATGTTACCAGTCGCTTGATTAATTTGTTTCAACAAGGCTTTTACTGCTTCTCTTATAATGTATCTCTCCACTCAGTTCGTACATTAGGTACATTTCAGTCAGGAATATTTTTAGTGTCAGTGAACTGCACGAGCTAATCTCTATTTTTTAAAAACAATTTTGTTTTACTTTAGCTGTATTGAACGAATAGCTTGTATATAATTATATTAACTTTTTGCAGTGTAACATGATTAGCTGTCTATGTTTGTATGCTTGTTTAAATGTGAATTGTTGTTTCATGTTATAAACATTCAGCCTATATACCACCTCACAATACAACCAACAATACCTCACTTTGTTCTATAGCCTTGTGAGATCTATTGATGTTGTTTCTTTAAACGGCACAGGCTACAAACTATGTTGTGAAAACAAAATTGTATTACATTCTAGCTATTCGCCGTGTACTCAGGTGTCGGATTATTGTTAAACATGACGATAGCCTGAATGGACGATTTTCCTAATAGGACGACTTCCAAAGTGTAAGATCGCCAGTTGGGAAACTTATTCCAAAAGACGAAATAATGAACAGACGATAGACGGTATATACACGTACACAAATGTTTCATGGACACATTTTTTTGCAACATCCTTACATTTTTCAGAGTTCCTTGTTCAGTGTTGTTACTGCGAAGGTCTGTTGTCGAAGTAGGCTTTTGTTATTTCATTAGAAATAAATAAAAGTGGAGCCGTGTTTCTTTCAGGCATGTTTCGGTGGCGGTACTGTAAGCAACACGGCAATCCGCTGAGCACTACCACTACCACCACCCCCCTCCCCCACCCAAGATAAAATAGAAAAGATAGAATATTATTATAAAATATGTATGTACACTTGAACGAGTGTTATAATTACAATGCCCATCTCCCTCCACTAATGAGCTTTTCCCTCTTCACCCACCCACCCACCCCTACATAAAATATATTTTTTTTATACAAACTATATTATACTATACTTAAACATTGTTATAATGAACCTTTCTCACATAGAATCTTCAGATCAACCCACCCCCTACACCACCTACCCAAGATATAATACAAAATATTAAACTTGAATACAAACTATATATTTGAACCATTTACAATGCAACCCCCCCCCCCCCTCGTTCGATGAAAGTTTCATATCACCCCTCCCATGGAGCAAAATGTCTAAACGTAAGGATAACTGGGGGTGAACAAGACGTAGAATCAAATTTCAAAAAAGTAAATCTAGACTGCTAAACTGCGTACTACTGTCAAACATTGAAATGTGTACCGATGCCACTAGTCGTGTGTGTACAAATGCGACTACAGTAGTGTGTCTATTTCTTTTTAAAACAAGCTATGTG